CCTTAATAGGGATTTTTCTGCAGCAGCTACAAATTCTATGAGGCATATCATTACATGAATTACAATATATGTACTGTATTTACTGCTGCCAGGCCACATTAAAAGGGAGTGTAGTTTACAGAAAATTTGCTAGTTTTGTATGTTGAACTGTGAGTTTATTGTTTAACTAAATTCATGGATGTTTGGGGATAAGATGCTCCTTTTCCAGAGCTTAAGGTTTAATACATAGTACTTATCACCTCAGCCTTATTAATTTTTATGACCACATTTTCACAACTGCAACAAATACTTTGTAGGATCATTTCATATTTATTCACAGTTGCTATAAACAGGAGGTGCGAAAGAATCCCACATCCTTGTTACTGGTGAAATTACCAATTTTGCAAATGCATAAATTACAGCACGTAGTGTAATGAGAGCAGCTGCTACTTGATCTCATTCACAAACATGAATTTAGCCTCATACTTCTATTTGGCTTCTGGATGCATGCACAGATTTAAGGACAGCATCCAAGAGCTTAGAAAAATTAATGAATTCTCCCAAACTAAACTATCCCTTTAGATTCTTTAAACCCAGGCTTAACTGTAAAACAGATCCGAGATGCTAATGATGTGTCATACATAAACCTATGGGCAATCCCCGGGTGCTTTTTTTTATTTTGAAGGACTTTGTTTTCTACGTGCCTCGTCTTCGCATCAACAAACGTATCCTGGCCTTGTGTATGGGGAATCATGACCTGTACATGCGCAGACGTAAGCCTGACACTATTGAGGTGCAGCAGATGAAGGCTCAGGCCAGGGAGGAGAAGAACAAGAGGCAGATGGAGAGGTAAGGAAGGAGGAAATAATGAAGGCTTATTTTTATTTTTTTTACAGTTTACAGTGTGTTCTCTCTGCTTTAAGAAAGAACTGTCAGGAGACATAGTTTTTTTCAGATCTGTATTTATGCACAATTCTCCTGTCAGGGCTCTGCTCGAGAGTGAGAAAAAAAAGCGAGAAAATGCTGAGAAGGAAACAGAGAAGATTGCTCGTGAGACCATGGAGCTGATGGAGAGATTGAGACAGATTGAAGAGCAGACAAAGAGAGCTCAAGATGGTCTGACAACTTTCTGAATACAAATGTTTCTCAACTTGAGTTTGTTTTTTAAGTTTAAGAACATTAAAAGAATGGCTTATTTTATTGAAGTACTTTTATAATCTCTACAAAGCTTATACTATGTTGTCATGTGTGAGTATGTGTGTTGGATGTTTTTGTTCTCATGTGCATGTGTATTTTAGAGCTGGAGGAGCAGACTCGCAGGGCTCTTGAGTTAGAGAAGGAGAGGACGATTGCTCAGGAGGAAGCTGAGCGCCTGGACAAGGACCGCAAAGCTGCAGTGGAAGCTAAAGCAGCCCTGCTGCACCAATCTGAAACCCAGACCAAGAGCCAGGAAAGCCTGGTACTCACACACAACTACATACTACTACATACTGGGTTTAATTAACTGTAGATTAAATTGAATTTATTTAATAATAAGGTGGATTTTGTCCAAACCTAAACGCTGAAAAACTTGTTTGAAGTCATCATTCAGCCATTTACCTTATTACTGTGATCAATGACTCATGGTATATTAACATATATTGATCAAGTACCCTTTGAGTTAGAAACAAGGCTGGTAAGGTATTGATGTCATTAAGAGATTCACAAATTCGGCTTGATAGAATATTTTAAATTATTAACATTTTTAGCTGATTGAAAAGAAAGGCAATAACCTGAGCCGTGATGCTGCATATGAACATATCCGTGCACGCACTGATACGCACACATATTCTCTCTGACACACACACACACACACACGCACCCGCAGACAGAGTACAATGACCTTAGATCAGGAGCACTCTTAACTTTCTTCCCATTTGTGTGCGTGTGTGTATAGGCCACTGAGCTGGCAGAGCTTACCTCTAAGATCTCCCAGCTGGAAGACGCCAAGAAGAAAAAGGACGAGGAGGCAAAGAGATGGCAGAAAAGGGTGAGAATTAATGAAAGGACCATGAGAGAGATAAAGGATGAATCAAACATGAGCAAAGAGCAATGTCTGACACTACTAAGTGTAAGACCCGGGTAAAATAGAAGGAATGCGTCAACCACAGAAAAGTGTATCACTAGACTTTCAAACTGTGATTGTATGAACTTTATGGGTTTCAATGCATTGTCACATGTTGTAAACTTTACCCTGCAAAGCCACATTTGGCTGAAACAAATCATTATATCCATTTAACTTGTAAATTTCAAGATTTACCTAAAGTGTATGCAAATCTTTGCATACAAATAAGTAGTACTAGTCTGGACTTGCATGTAGTCTAATACTGCAGTGTTGCAATTTTCTCTGTTGTCCAATGACCTTGGGAGACTGTTGCGCGCAATGATAACAAATCGCATTAGTCATAGCAGATAACATACTTAGATTTTTGCATTTTGGGTCAAATATCCATTTATAATAGTACAGTAGTACTAAAAAGTAGAGATAAAAGGGCCGGATTATTTCAGCTTTGTGGCATGGGGCATCTATTCATTTTGTTAGAACAGAAGCCACATGTTTCAAATCAGGATTAGGTCGCATTCGTGGAACAAATCTAGTGGCTTACTTATCCAACCACTGCACTTCAATGCAAGTCATGTGTGTTGACAGGCGATCGTGGTAGAAGCTGATTTGGAGCGAACCAAAGTGGAGTTGAAGACTAAACTCATGGGTGTCCACATCCAGGATTCAGTCCAACCTCATATGCATGAGCACGACGAGACGGATGAGAGCAGTGCAGAGGCGAGTGCCGAGCTGACTTCCCCAGGCATGGTCCGTGATCGCAGCGAGGAGGAAAGAGTAACAGAGGCCCAGAAGAACCAGAGACTGCATAAAAGCCTCAAGGTAAGGCAAAGTGAATATAAGTCAATGTTTTGAGTTAAATCTCTTGGATGCATTGCTGTGAAATTTGCTACAGATTTTGAATGTTCATAGACAGCCTCACAAAGTCACTGGCTGTAGACTCATAGTCTTGTTTCCAGAGAATCTCTGGCTCTCAATCGCTGACTTCAATTTTTATTTATACAGTAATTTTTAAAGTAACTGTCTCATTTAGAAGGTATTCGGCTTAACAAGAGTGACATATGTATTAGCATAGCACACTCCACTGCCATTTCATTGTCCAACCTCTTACAGTTTATGGTTTGAAAAGCACATTTTTGTTGCTGTTGTGCTGTTAAGGCTATGTTTTGGTACATTTGCTGTGTTGTCAGTTGACACAGTCATGAAGAGGTTTTGACTCTGCTGTAAAGATGGCAGCTAAATTGCCACCAAAAACTGTGTTTCACCAATTAAGTGCACTCCAGATAATTAAACATTGTTGCAGACACATTATGATTCTGTTGGTAAATCTCGTCCAGACCATCCAGACCAGACTTATTATAAAACTGAAATAAAATTGGAAACAAGATATGATATTGCATAGAAACTCAGCACAAAATGGACCTAATAACTATGGACAATGGAGTGTCTTCAGATGGGGACTGGGGAGAGGTGAGAGGGGCAAGGCTTCAGAATAGTCTCCCAAAGAGTCTCAGGAAGGAGGAATTAATTCACTGTGTATTTGTGTTCGCTTTCAGTTCCTGAGCACTGAGCTTGCTGGAGCCGTAGACGAGAGCAAAAAGACCCCCAATGACCTGATCCACGCAGATAATGTGAAGGCGGGCCGTGACAAATACAAGACCTTACGTCAGATTCGTCAGGGCAACACCAAACAACGTATTGATGAATTTGAGTCCATGTGAGAGGGACTGATGTAGGCTTACTCAGACTGAAGGCAGGAAAAGGATAGATGATGAAATCGGACACACAGAGAAATTTTAGAAGTTTAGCTGCAGATTTTTGCATAGGTAGAAAATTAACCTGACATGAAGTTGGTTGAATATAATGGCAAATTATATTGTTACTGTGCTTTGATTGAAATACATTCATGGTCCACTTCAGTGCTGCAAACATACGAGACATCATCTATGCTTTCATTTATGAAAAGTGTCAATCTTATTACACACAGGTGCAATCTTAATATGCCAACTAATGAAAAACCGTATGAATATTGATTAATGAACACAATGACATTTAAGACACTGGTTATTATTCCAACGTAATGTTAAATCCTCTATTCTTTATCACAGAAATAAAAGGCACAGAAACACTGTCGGTGTGTTGTGTGTTTGTGTGTGCATCAGCTCCCATATGAATGAGTAAGCATCACCTTCAATGTGCCTAATGAGGCAAACTGTTGTTCGGCATAAAAACAGATGAGCTGCAATCAAAAATAAAAGTTAATTATCACCTTCAAATAGATGTGTATGTTTGCAATATGATCCAGTCATTCTATGTCAGTGCCTCCACTCCTGCAAGAAACAACCCAGACCTCTCAAAGAAACAAGCATTAACGTTCTTCTTTTTTTCATTTTATAGATGTCTAAATATTAAACATGCCTAAATGAATACAGATGTGATTGTTTTTGTTTTGATCATGTGTCTCTAGCTCTCTCTACAGCATTTGTAGCTTCACCCTTTTCTTGTTCCTGACGTCCTCATCCATCACATGCCGTCCAAAAATAAACAGATGAAAATACAGGGTGACTAGCCTATTAGACGCTCAATTGGACATCTCTATGAAAAAAAAGCTTGTAGGCCTATATTTGTCATTTTGTTTTTGAATGTTGTGTGTTGTCTTTCAAAAATCAATGATTGTGCAAGACGATTTGTATTTCATCTGACATTAACCGTAACCCATTTTGGTGAACAGGCCACTGGATACAAACAAGTTTAAATAACTTATTATTCAAGTCAAACTAAACTCTGTGTGTGTGTGTGTGTGTGTGTGTGTGTGTGTGTGTGTGTGTCGGTGGGGGGGGGCATATTCTGAACGGTCATGTCAGCCGCACAATATTATTATGGCTATATACACTGATTAATGTTTAATCCTGCCTATTCTCGCGAGAACCGACAGATTCCACGGCCAAATAATGGGAGGCACGGCGCTGGGATTCCAATTGAGACAAAAAGTTATGTTTAGGGTTGTTGTTCAGTAGCCTACGCAATGTTAAGCCGCTCATTATACCCGAGTTCAAAGTTCTCTTACGTGAATTTCTAACAGTTACTCATGAAGTGACGGCAAATGGCCTTTATGCATTTCGCCTGGTGGAGAAAACGCTTACTTCATAAAAAGTTCTCGAGCCCTTAAGTCGCGGAACATGTTGACGGGATGTCCTTTCTTTGTAGCAACCCACATCGACGACTGCTCTGTGAATCTCCTACCCGCTGACACATATGACCGGAGTCTCATGGGGTAGGCGTATTCTCGTCTGGAAAGTGTTGTTTTTATTTGTCCTCCTGTGCAACCAGCTCACTGCTTGAAACTCGACGTGAGCTGAAGATGGCCTTTAACTCGTCTGATATAGAAGAAACGTCAAACTCTTTAATAATGAATGAGCGCGATCGCTTGGATACCGCGGACACCTGTGCGTGCCCAACTACCGCGGAGCTCAGTAAAGCAGTGTCAGTGTCCTTGGGTTTGGATACGGTGTCTTCTCCTGCTCCGCTCAACAACAACATGAACCAGTGCTCCTCCAGCAGCGCCTTTTCAGACTTCGACCCCACTGTGGAGAACAGTTCTCGGGGAGTGCTGGAGTTCGGAGCGGCTCGAGATATGAACTCAGAAGGCAGCGGGTTTCTACTGAATGACACTACACAAAGAGAGGACGACTTTGGAGAGGTGTGCCACGGCATACAGCAGGTAAGCTGCATGGATCTGCTCAGATCGGGTGAAATGGACAGCGCGCAAACCGTGACGCGCGGCCAGGTGATATCCAGATATGTTTGCAAAGAATCAAACTTGTTTCTGAACCCGGTGGTCGAGATGCCCGCGCCCTCCCCGATGGACGAGCTCTTGCCTTTGAAACCATACCCTGCGTACTCTGCCAATCCCAACCTATACAGGGATACCCCGGGTGTGTGGTGCGCATACAGCGGACCACCCGAGCCAGAGAGAGGCGGATCTGGCGGACACACTTTGTTGTGCAAATATTGTAATTGTGGCCAGGTCTCTCGTGGATCCAGGCAGGAATGCCACTGTGTCTGGTACAGCAAGAGCGAGCAGGGTCGTAAAGGTGGCACGCGAGCAGCGATGGCACAAGGGTACGGACAAGTGGAAAGTTACCAAAGTGCGATTCCTCAAGGGCATGCCACTTTTTCCAATATCAAAACCGAACCTTCAGTGTGGGTGGACTGCACAGATCGCAGTTTCAGGTAAATATAACAGATTTTAACCACAATTTTCCCCACTTGCTCTTCATTGGCGTTGGGTCAGGAGTCCTGTCAAGAGACTGTCACATCTTTCCTTATTTAGTCTCATCTTTCTTTAATCAGGAGCAAAATCACACGTGTGTGTTGTGAGCATGTCTGCTTTACAGTTGGCATTAAAGAGTCTTGCAGTGTTGATAGATAGATAGATAGATAGATAGATAGATAGATAGATAGATAGATAGATAGATAGATAGATAGATACTCTATTCATCCCCAAGGGGAAATTCACAGTTTTCAGCAGTATCTGGGATAAAACAGAAGATTTAAAATTTAAGGAGGCATGCAAGGTACTAATAATAATAATAATAATAATAATAATAACAATAATAACAACAACAGGAGGCAAAATGCAAAAGAACCAATAAAATCAATAGCAAAATTGGAGGGTTGGGTTTGGTCCCTTTCATTTAAAAGAGTGTTATGAATTTATGAATGAATATATTACTTTAAAGCTGCTGCAGTGTTTATCTAGATCTCGTATTCATTTCTTGAAATGAATCAAGTGCAATAAACATGATTTTTCTGCAATAAACATGATTATTCTGTATAGTTATTTGTAATTCCTCATGCTGATGTATTGTAGTGTTGTATGTTCTTCTTGGCCTTGGCCAAGTTGTGTTTCAGCATGCAGCTAGACTGAATCAAAGTTCACCTAACTTTCCAGAACTTACATTACTATGCTGTGACTAACTACACAAAACATGAGTTAATGTATCAGTGTCACTATAAACAGGAGATACAGCACCTGTTGCTGATTCTTGGAATGAAAACAAGAAAACGATCTGTTTCCACTTATTGGTTCCTGAGTAACATGTTAAGAAAATACATCTGCAGTTCTTTAATAATCACAGGGTTGCTTGTCTCTTAAATGACTTCACTTGGTGTCATATAATCAATTACGACAGGGAAATCTCCTATTATAATTTGATTGGATTTAGGGAATTAGTGCTCCAAATGACACAACAGGCAGCCTAACACTCTGAGAGTAGACCTAGTGACCTAAATCTGATGGTAGTATGTCTATTGGACTGCCTGACATTATTTTTTACAGACATTGTAGCTGTTTTGAAAAAAACCTTTGAATCCTTAAAAAACAGCATTGCGCCGTGTGTGTGTGTGTGTGTGTGTGTGTGTGTGTGTGCGTGTGCGTGCAGACATGAGGATTTGTTTCCCGGTGTGTACCTCTCAGACAGGAGAGTTTGTCAGGTGTGCGGTGATGATGCCTCAGGTTGTCACTATGGAGCAGTCACCTGTGGCAGCTGCAAAGTATTCTTCAAGAGGGCCGCTGCAGGTGGGTGTGACAGCACGCATGCACGAGTACACCCACACAATTACTAGTGTGCTGATTTTAATTTCTTACACCCACTCGCTCGTTCATGCAGGCAGGGCACAGTGACCTGACATTATAAGGGCGAGTTATTTGTTATCAGCAAACACCCACATATCGTTGCTATGAGTGGAAGCCTAGGCTTTGTTGAACTCGCTCCCTCATCCCCCAGGACTTTTGTGTGCCACCAGGTAAGCAGAACCACCTGTGTGCCAGCCGGAACGACTGCACCATCGACAAACTGAGGCGGAAAAACTGTGCCTCTTGCCGTTTAAAGAGATGCTTTATGTCGGGAATGAGCCTTAAAGGTGAGGAACTAAAGATAAGAACTGAGTGAGAGACAGAAAGAAAAGTATGTGTGACATGAATTTGGAAAACGGGGTCAGGGTGGTGAGATACCTTACTTGCATTGGATCAGAACTTAGTAATCAAATGTTCCAGCTTAAATACAGTGTAACAAATGCATTTCAGCAAAGGCCAAAAGAACATTTTTACTTGTAGCCAATGATCAAGAGCCCTGCCACATAGTTATAAAGAGGAACAGCTCCATGGGCTGATGTAGCCCTGTGTATAGTATTCTATCCCAGTTTAATTCTTGTTTTGTCCAGCTATCAGTTGTGTAATAATCAGACGAAACAACTCAAGATGTTAGCTCCTTATCTCCTTTTTACTCTCTTGCCTTCTACTTGTCTGGGGTGGATTGTAGGTCGAAGGCTGAAGGGAGCCGGACAGACGAGGAACGGAGAGGAGGAGCAACCTCTGGGTCCCTGGGGGCCTGGCGAACGAGGAGAAAGGGCTGGGAAGAGAGATATCATCTTGGAGCCTGGAAGTGCAGCTGCCAGGGCTCAAAGTAAGGATGAATTTCACATAAGTAGCATGCTCAAGTAATGTTGAACATAGTTTTAAAAGATATTGTTTTCTTTTTATACTATTCACCTTGTCTGTGTATCATTATGTGTGTTTGTCTTCAGCAGCATCCCATGCCCTGGCTCTAGGCATCCCACCGAGCTTGCGCTCCTGTCTCTCCCTGCTCAGTGTCTTGCAGACCATTGAGCCGGCCGTGGTCAATGCGGGACATGACCATGCCCTGCCAGACAGCCCCGCGTCCTTGCTCACCAGCCTCAATGAGCTGGGGGAAAGACAGCTGGTAACCGTGGTGCGCTGGGCCAAGGCAATACCAGGTAAACTAGTCCGGTCCAAGGAAACACGCTGCAGGCTGGTCCATGCTATATTTAGGTGTTTCTGCCAAGGTCGTGTGCACTAAATTACTCCAATAATTGTTTCAGGTTTAGCGTAATGTTGGACAAACTAATAAAACTTCATGCCAAGCAAAACACTAGAAGGCCACACTTGAGCACTCGTGTAACTCTGTAGTTTGGAGTAATTTAGACTAGCTTTAAAGTGATCAGGAAAAGTATGTAATATCTCTTAGGCCTCTAGTAAACTTCCATAGTGGAGCAGCCAATCCTACTGCAATGCAAACCAGCCTGTTCAAATATTAACCACTAGAGGGGGATATGATCATATTTAAGCAAAGGCTGGCAGGCTGAAAATGGCCAGCAGTGCACCCATACTGTGATATCCCTGTTGTTGGTATTAGTCTGAAGATTTCACATTTATTTAATTGACCTGTAAAGTGTTATTTTATGATTTCACAGGGGTAGAGATTTGATAAAATAAATGTTTTTAACAGGTTTCCGTGACCTGCATGTGGATGATCAGATGTCAGTGATTCAGTTGTCATGGATGGGGGTGATGGTGTTTGCTTTGGGTTGGAGGTCCTACACACTCACTAACAGCTCCATGCTGTACTTTGCTCCAGACCTGGTCTTCAATGAGTAAGTCACTTTACACGGCTTTCTTCTGTAGAGTTTTAACATTGACATGTTTGAATTAAACAAACTTGTAAGAAGTTTGTCATACCTGGTGCAGTCTCTTATTCAAACAAAGAAAAGTTAGTTTGGGCCTGAACAGCTGTAATAATCATTGTGACACTGGGTTTATTGGAATATCTTGAGATTTCACCTGTCATCACGGTTGGAAAGAAAGGCACAGTGGAATACAAGCTTCAGAGGAAGATTTAAAAATCACTTGATGAACATCGTCTTTTCTAGACGAGACAGTAAACAAGGTTGTTCTGTTCCTACCGTTTTCTTTGCATTTGATACACATGGCCGCAGAGGGATCACCTCAGATGATTTATTCCTTTTCATCTTTACGAAACCATCGATAGAACTGCTACAGCATTGAGTTGTTTCTTTTTTCACTTTGACAAGTTGTGATACACACCGCAACTTCCTCCAGCCTCTATTGAAATGTTTCTGACACTTCAACTGCTGTCTTTTGTCTCGTCTTTGTACTTTTAAAAGCTTAACAAAAAGTTTCTCACTGAATCACTGTACATGGTATACATAAGTCACAATTCCACACCCCTCTTACCAGCAAATTATCTACAGCGTTGAAGGAGGGTGTTGCTCAGACTGCTAAAGCCAGCCACAGGCCCATAGAGCATGTTTCACTTGGTGGTGTTTTGTGCAACATTAGCAAAATACTCGTTCTGTCTACATTAGACCTCTGTCACTCTATTGGGCTGCATTGTAATGGATACGCCTGCCCTTGTTGCTGACCCTCATTTTTCTCTGCCTCCCTGTCGTTCTCTTTTTCCATTATCCATCTCACTCATTTTTTCTCACCTCTGCTGCTTTTTCCCTTCTTTCCTTAGCTCTCGCTTCTGCCACCATTAATTGTCTTCCACCTTTCTATATTTCTCCCTGCCTGACCCTCTCTTGGCTTCTCACTTCTCTTTTTGTCACACCTTGTGCTCCTTCTTCCTCCTCTCATGCTGTTTTTTTTCCCCACAGCGAGCGGATGCAAGTGTCCAGTATGTATGAACACTGTGTGAGGATGAAGCTACTCTCCCAAAGGTTCTGCATGCTAAAAGTTACCCAGGAGGAGTTCCTCTGCATGAAGGCCCTGGTCCTCTTCAGCATCAGTGAGTCGGCTGGGACCACGTCTGTAATAATAAGTTGAATGTCAATTCAGCGAGTGAAATATGACTATAATAGAGTGCAGCCATATTTCAGTGAATTGATGGGATGGATAAAGTCTGTGAGAGTTATTGTTGTGTTCTGGCTTTGTGGTCACAGTGCCAGTGGAGGGCCTGAAGAGCCAGCGTTGTTTTGATGAACTGCGGACCTCCTACATCAAGGAGCTGGACCGCTTAGCCAGCCATCGCGGAGAGACCACCCGTACACAGAGACTGTTTCAGCTCACACAGCTGCTGGACTACCTCCAGTCGGTAATAGCCACAATTCTACTTCACATATGAAAGCACACCATGCCGTGACCTTTATATAAATGTAATTTTATATAAGTATCACAGAACTATGTGAGCAAGAAGTAGTATGTCAAAGTGCACCTCCCAAGTTAACAAATACTGCAATTGGCTCACAGCTATACAGTGTTAACTTATTAACTAACTAAACTAAATCAAGATTGTTTGATCATTTCATGGCTGGATTACTTCAATTGTTATTACATTTATAATTTATGCAAAAGTTCAGTTACAGACGGACCTTTACCAACTATATATTTGGAAAAAGTTGTTGACAAACAGGGGTATTATTCCAATTTGTGCACAAATCCCCAGCCATTAACTAAGGTTAAACACATACCAAAGGGTCATATGACTCCAGTTTTAGCTTCTCTATACTGGCTGCATATCAGGAGGGGAAATGATAGAGTCACCGCCTGCTGGTAGCATTGCTACATTAAAATTAGCTGTATAAGGAGTTAAGCACATAGTCTGTGATGCAAAGCAACTTGATCTAGTCCTGGCCAATGACATCCAGAAGCTGCAGACTGCACTTCCTGTCCAACCTTTGTCACCTACTGTAAAGGAAACATAGCAGCAACAGCACTTCAGATCTGCAGATGAAAACGTGCTGGTGTGAATCATCTACAGACAAATAGTTTCTGCAGTTTTTGTATTTTTGCCACCCACAGACAATGTTTCATTTTAAACCTGCAAAATGTTAGAGTTGTGTTAGCAAGTATAAAAAGTATTCTTATAGTATACAAACTACCAACATGTGATCTCTGTCCTTTGCAGAGGTAGGTCAAATTTGATCTAATCAAAGAGAAATTAAAGCAATAAAAGAAAATGTAGATTAACCAAATTCTGACTGTGAATAATTTACACATCAGAGTCACAGTGGCAGTTCCTGTTTTACAATCACATGCTGAATTATGTTTCTGTTTAATAATTTAATATTCAGTAGAGAAGTGTGACTTAATTATGTTCCACTTTTATACATTGTTTGATTTTAGCTTAGGTGTAATAAAATATTAAATGTAAAACCACAAAATATATCACACAAAGAAAATGGCAGCTTTGCACTTATACCCTCTTCCTCCATACGAAAATAAATTTCAATAAATTAAAAAACGGAATCCAAAATTATAATTAAACAACATATAGACATGCCTGACTGTCCTGTGAGCTTTATGTTTATGGGAGGATATTTGTCAAGGTTTTAGAAGGTCAGAGAAGCTAATTACATTTTGTAAAACTTTTTACAATGATTTTTGTAATGTTGAGGGTTAGAGTTAAACATTTATTTATGTATAGGCCTAAAATCTATGCTTATGTGGATTTGACTTTTTTTTTTTTTATTTGGTTAATGGAGATATGACGTTTCTTGGTAGGGATGCAACCACTAGAGGGTGTAAGTCAACTGATTTCCCTTCTTAATACTCGTAGGATTTTTAATACAAACTGGTAAGAACAAAGAGATATCAAAGTAAAACTCCTGACATCAGTGATTGGGACAAGAAGACCTGGAAAGTTTCCTGCTGCAGCAGTTTTAGCCTTGTGTCTTTCACTGTGGATTTACCCTTAAAGGCTCAGCTTTGTCTGTGTCCCACTCACATCTCAGATCTTCTAATGCCTTATGAGCTAGAGGGCAGCCAGGGATTGTCTGGCAGTGCCTTTTAGGCAGAAAACCCGAGTTGATCAAGACTTTGCAGTTTAGACCCCTTCGGCTTTACCCTGCCTGTGGAGCTTAGAGTGCCACAATGAGTGTCATCTTTTAAATCACCTCTTAAAGCTCATGTCAAAAGACAGAATTCTGTGTCATTTGTTATTTTCTCTTTTATCTGCAGGCTTTGTTCTTTTTCATTGCTTTAAACAGTAAAGCATATCATCTTTGTTATTAATAACCTCTGTGTGATCTCTGCCTCTCTCTCTCACTCTCTTCTCTTTTCCTCATTCTCAGGTTGTGAGGAAGTTACACCAGTTCACCTATGATCTGTTCATCCAAGCTCAGTCCCTGCAGACGCGCGTCAACTTCCCAGAGATGATCTCGGAGATTGTTAGCGTTCACGTGCCCAAGATCCTCTCAGGCATGGTCAAGCCCATCCTTTTCCACAATACAGCCTAGGGAGAAGTCTCTGTGGTTGTCCTATATGTCACCTGAGCTCCAGCACCCAGTCTTCAGCCATTTCTGGTGAAGCTTGAAACAGCTAAAGAGGGTTTTTGATTCTTCCAGCGTATTGTACATATTCTTCCAGCCTATTGTAACTGCATCTACTCCGTTCTTATTACTGCCTGTTATCTGTATCATGCACATCTATTCTGGAGCTGATTAAAACACCTTTTAGCATGCATTCCTCCACACAACAACAACTGGCATGTAGACTTCCTCACATTAACAACATGACAACATGTCATTTTGAGAGGTAAGACAGTGATGAGAAAAACATTTTTGCAGAGTTCACATCCCCATCGCTTTTCTGTGTGCAGTACAGTAGTATGACATTTGCACTAGCTTTTTCCACAATGAATGTTATTGTGTGCACCTGAGGTGAACAAAGTTGCTGATTGACATTTAATAAATGGTTGTGGCATGCATGCTAAGAAGCAAAGCTGTCTCGCCTGAAGGCATACGAGAACTTTTTTTTTTTTTTAGAAGCTGCTCTCATCCATAGAAGTAATGGTCGACTAATAGTTTTAGGTGTCGTCAAAATAAAAACACTTTTAAACTGCAAGTAACTGCAAATTTCAAATGCATATTTATGAATATTGTAATGTCAAAAGGGCACAACAAAAACCCTGAAAAAAATAATTGCACAAAACATAAAAGACTACTCGAATGAATTGAATTTGAATTTAAGTTTGCTTGTTTTTGGTTGTCAAACATTATTCAAGTACAGTTTTTCCCAAGTGGACATTTAATACTGTTGTAACTTTTCTACTGTTTCTTAAAGTGTTCTTTGCAAGTGCTTTTTGGTGCATTATAATGTGTTAATTGTAGCTTTTGACATTTTTGCTAAACGTTAAACGTTCAGCCAAGAATCTGCTCGTTTGTTGCCGCATTGATAGCTTAAGATGTAATAAAACTGATGCATGAGTGTGTATCTGTTTGTTGATAATGAGGGCAGAGTGAAAGACATGCGCACTGTCGCATTATAGCACAAATCTTTTAAAGTGTGGTCTCTTTGTGCATGCTAATGTTAATACAGTGATCTTCCTGTTTTTTTCAGTTTGATAGATTTTTGTCAGTTTGCAATGCAGTCAAGTGGACAGACAGGCTTTAGAAAACATCAGTCAGACAAGTCTTTTTCTACCACTGCATTAGTCACCCTCAGGATTATCTCAGTCAGGTAATAGATCACAGCAGGAAACCAGAACAAGCAGGCCTGGCTGGCTGATCTGATATCAGATAGCTGCTTGTGTTTTAATACCATCTAGTGGCGGCTGTCGAATCTACATCAGTAAACTGAAACTCAACAATAGTAAGACAACATCTGTTGGATCCATTGACATTTGCTTCGTAATGTAATTGGACACAGATTCACTCAGTGTTTGAACACAGTTACCATTAAATAGTCAAAGTCACGAGAGCGGAGTTCATTGCAGTTAAGGAAATAAAGAGTGCTTTTTAATCAGGATTAAATTGTCAAAACTTAATAGGTAATTTGGAAGTAAAAGTTTCATCTTATTTGAATATATATATTATTTGAATATAAATAATATAATTTAACTATATCAGAATATGCTTTTAAAATTGTATTCATAGGAAAGTATATATTTGAGGAAAAATATGTGTATTTAACAGTATTTACAAATGTCTGTAGGGCCGAAGAGAAAATGACATATCTGTGAGAGCTGGTTTATTTTTACATGGTACATTTAAAAGCCCAAACTGTAAAAAGCAGTCTGTCTGGGTAACCTCTACCGCCATTTTAAGTCCCATTTCCTGAACAACCTCTTTCAACAAGTATTTGTCCCTCTCATAAATGAATTGGAGCTGAACGAAGTTGGGATTGAAAGACATGCTGAAATATCACTTATTTCTAAATATATTCCCTGCTACACATGCTCCTGTGGCTTCCCTTAAAAGGGATGGCGTCTCGTAGGTTTGCAATGATCAAAAATGTATGTGTTGATGTCGACATTTGAACTTAGTTTAGATTCCATTTGATTTCTGTGTTTCTCCGAGTCTGCTCTGCATCAATATTACATGCCTACTCTAGCAGAAGAGGGATTTTTTCTGTTGGGTAATGACAACCACAGAAAGCACAAACATACTGCCCACAAACAACAAAAGTTCAAACTATTTCCTCATGTGGAGATGGAGGAAAGATTAATGGGAGGAGAGACTTTCAACATGTCACTTCACTTTGAGAGGATGAACTAAAGGAGAAGTGGAGATAGTTAAAACTTGATGCCAAAGTAACTGAACACCCACAATACCAAGCTCAGAAGGAAATGTGGTTGGTACAGGGTACAATACTTCTTGCAATACTCCAGCAATAATGTCTTAAACACCAGGTTACCGCAACTCACGGCTACAGTGACCGGAAAACAATTAGATTGTGGAGGTGGTAAGATGACACCCCTGAATGGGTTGTTTCAGTGGCCTATCTAATGGAGGGCGATTCCTACCCAAGCACCAGTCCATTAACAACCAATTAACTTCCTATTAATATTTTACCAGACAGGGCCTCTCATCCTGACGTGTTTTAAGGAGCTTTTCCCAGGAGTGTTTGAACATGAGCAGCTTTTAGCGCAGCATAAAGAGGCCTGTGTAATGGGCTTGAGGAGGAGGAGTGGCAACCTGATAGCACTGAGAGCAGAGGAGGGGAGAGAGGAGAGGAGACAGACTTCTGCAGCTGGCCTGCCCCGCGCCGGGCCAAGCCTGGGCCTGGCCAAACACACACACACACAGGGACTGCAGCATTAGGAAATCCATGGTTTTATGGCTGCGACACGAGATCAGACATGAGTAACAATCTTGTGCCATGCGTGGAGAATAATTGTGTTTTGATAGTCAAAGATGTGACAGAGTTTTTTTCTTGTTTGCTCAAAATTGCAACAATTTAGCCTCTGAGAAGTGCTTCTCACCATCCCAGAGTTTCTCATAAAACAAGTCTTTAAACAGGAATATCCACCTCGGTCCTGATCTGCCATGAGCTAGCTTTGTGCTGCGTAAGGCTGGGTGGACGTTTAAAACTAGTTCAGGGAAACTCCCTGCCTTGAGACAAAAAGAAAGAAAGAGAGAGAGAGGGAGGCAGAAAGAAATAGAGAGAGGCCATTATGACTATAGCCTGAGGCTACTCCCAGCGGATAAGGCATTTGTCTTCACTTGAAAGTATGATTTATTTTTCCACCAGTCAGAAGGGTTATGTTTGTCACCGCACACTGAAAGGACTTTTGGAAATAGCAGCCGAAGCAGAAATGGAAAAAAAAGAATGTCCTTTGGTTCTCTAATGCACTCTTCATGTTTTCTCAAAGCCTTCCCTTCTATGGTTACCTTGTTTGAGATCACTTTCAGTCTTCATTAACTTTAGTTAATCATACTGAACCTTGCGTCTAATTTATCAGCAGGAGCATGTGTGTGTGTTGATGATTAAGAGAAAGGGGGGAATGTGGGAAGGGGGAAAGATGTGGTTGTATCAGGTTCCCTCCACTGGGTGTAGATGTGGTCTTAGATTTCTCTCTGGGCTGCTGATTAACCGTGTGTGTGCATGTGTGTGTGTGTGTGTGTGTGTCTGCGCATCTGTGTGTGTGAGCTGGGAGTGCACTGAGGAGGAGAGGAACTTCAGCTTTAATTTCCCCCAGCTCCAGATATTACACCCCCGCGCTCTCTGTTTTTATTGGAACAGAGACCAAAAAACACCAAGTGTTTATGATGCATTAAAACACGGTGGGGAACTCGAGTGTGGAATTGTAAATCTATACATTTGGCTCTGTCTCTCCAAAGCAGAATTAATTCTTTTATAGGAGATTTCGTGTGTTTTACGAAGACTGATGATTGCAACGCGCCATGAAATCATGTTTATCATCTTGATGTGGAGGACAGAGGCTGGAGAAAATTCTCCGTCAAGGGGAAAGAGAGGGAAATGGAGGCAGGACTTTAGAATAAAATTGCAGAGGGGCACATGGGAGGTGGGAGGAGTCATTGAGTTTTGGGTTGAAGCACAGAAGGAAGGAATTATTCTGCATTACCCTAATGACCATTTGAACAAACGGATGGGTGAGGAGACCACATTACATTCTATTAACTCCGCTTTTGTTGTCAGTGAACTGTTAATGATGTACAAAGGGAGCTCTTCGCTGCTCTCCTGGACAATGCATGCTCTGTGCTTCTAATTATTCTCAGGAAAGCGCTGACAGCCTTTATACCTGGAGACACATTAGCTAGCTCTAATTAGGGTAAATATTCTTCTGGTATAACACTGGTATTGCTTTGCCAATCCAACAGTGATTAGTGCTGTGTTTTTCTGCAGGGCTGCTTATCCATTCCCAGCCCTTCCCTGTCTCTCATTCTCCTTCTGTTTTTCTGTCTTGATCATTGCCTTTGCCTCTTCCTCACTCTTTTCTTCTCTGAACTCAATTTACTTCCTCTCTTCTCCCCATCTCTCTCCCTCCTTCCTCCCTTTTTTTTCCAGCAGCAGTAGAGCACCACTAGCTGTGACAGACTCACGGTCTGCCCATGCTCCAGCCATCTCCCAAGTTCATTATATCAGTACACAGTGTCCATGCCCTCCGCCCCTCGTAGCCCCTCGTAGCTCCTGCGTCCCAGCCAAACACAATGTGACAGTGCCGCCACAGCCCTCATTTACAGCCATCACAGGACAGATTTCCCCCTTCCAAGGCTCCCGTCTGCAGCCTGATAGATGGCACCCCAGCTTTTTCCTGCGCATGCATGTGAGCGTGCTGCTGTTTTGTGTGTAGGCGCTACTGTGTGTTCATTCGTGTCTCTGCTTTAATCTGTGTCTGTCCATCTTTGGGGGGGGGTGTGTGTGTGTGTGTGTGTGTGTGTGTGTGTGTGTGTGTCTAAGGCCTGAGTTGGAACAGCAATGTTTCCTCTGTCAGTAGTGATCCCTAAAACAATGTTTTATAATATCACTGGGCTTTGTTTCCACTCTCTCACACACTGTGTTTTTATATTTAATGCACTCTGCATACATTGTTCAGATTTTCTGCTTGTACTTTCAGAGTGCTGCTCAGTTTTAAGTGCATGGTTTGTGTAAGGCCTTCCATTTCTGTGGCATGCTTATTGGAGCACCCTTGGGGCAAGCTACATCTTTAGTTCGGGAAATGCTGCAGCACACTTCAGCTGCTACACACACTTTCTGATATCTTGTCTCTTCCCTCCTCTAAATATTGCACTTGTAGCCTCAGGCATCGGTTCTGTGTCATACTGGGAAGGTCAAAACAGACACGCGCACACACGCACTCCACACTCATAGATTTCAAATATCTCTATCAGCCCTGCGAGGATCAGATTGTTTTACGGGAAATCATGTCACGGGTCAAATGATTGAATTATTAATGGAAGTGCGGTGCAATAACAATCGGGCCTTGTCTATTGTGATTCCAATGTGATATTCACAGGCCCCTCTCAGCCTAACTTGATACTACCGTGTTACAATCCAAATCCAATAATGCCGACTCGGCGAAAGAATGCACCCCCCCCAATTTCTTCTCTATTGTTTCATGAGTCGAAGAGTGTCTTTAGTCTGTTGCCTTCACAGTGGAGAGTATTACTGAGTCTGTAGAACCATATCGACTGCTGTTCCACATTTCCAAGGACAAGGCAATACATTTTCATCAAAACAGTCATGGTAAAGTAATTCACAATCATAGGACTCTTTCACAATACACTGGTCTATGAAAAGTGTGTATATGTTTTTGTGCATATTTGTCTACTACAGCATGTGTGTGCATGCGCAATCTGGCATTCCTTACAATACTCTAATCTTTGTTCCTTTTTACAGTGCCAAATATGGATTTTGTTTCTGAGCATAGCTGGAAATCAACCAAGCACATCTAAAGCGAATTCATGATTCACATTATGGAAATAAAGGCAGACAATTCAGTATTCTCACATTTGCATATGTAAAGAACC